TGATGTGCAGTTAATAAGCGCAATAAATATTTATACTGGAAAAGAAAATTGTGAGAGAATCGTGATCTCAATTCTAAGCAAAAAAAATCGTGATTCTCATTTTATGCAAAATCGTGCAGCCCTATTATTATCGCATTTCTGTAAGATATGCTAGAACAAGCCCAGCAGAGGCCCTAGCCCTGAACGCAGGTATAATTTATTTGGGAAGCACAGATCACAGCTGGTACTATATAAATGTCCACCTCTCATATGCGTTGTAACTCCCATGTGAATGGGGCCACCCCACCTCTTGCCCTATGCTAGCTGGGATAGACCCTGAGTTGGATAAGTGGAAGAGAACAGATGGATGGATGAATGAATGACGCCTTGGTGTATACTGTTGCTTGCAAAAGACAGCAGACGTTGCACTTACACTTTGGTTGAACATGTCTGTCTCATGTCGAAGGGTGGTGTACTGGCAAAGGTGCTGTCTGATCATCTCCACCCGCTCGACCTCCAGTCGTTCCAGCTCCTGAGAAAAAGATCAGTTTTAACAGCTGAGTCACAGAGAAGTTACCGAAACTCAGCATCAAGTGCAGTGCAGTGAATTCACAAAACTCATTTGGAAATTCACTATTAAGGAAACTGAATGGAATGGATAAAAAGAAAGAAAAGAGTAATTTCAGATCAAACTAGCACACAATGAACCACAAAACCCTAAAATAGACGTAAAAATGCAAAAAAAAAAAACCTTATATGTTGGGTATTAAAGGGTAATTAAAGTTAATACCCAACATTAATACTAACTTGTACCACAGGATGGTGTAATAAGTGACCATAATCTTTATTTAACCGGGCAAATCATTAAGGGGCCTGTTTTTAATCACAATGGAGGCCTGGAAGTGGGTAAAAAAAGTTTTTATATATAGCTAAAAGCACTGTATGAATGCTTGTGTGAATAAGACTTTGTAGTCCAGAGCACTTTGCTCAGATTGAGTTGAAAGGCACTATGGAAGCACGTGTGCATTTAAAATGACATATTAGAAATAACCAATGGTAACATTTTACCCTTGGTGGTGAAAGTTTCAGTTAATTCTTCAGAAGGTAAATCCAAAAAGCACCTTTAAAGGTGTACAGACATTTTAAGTAATTGCAAAATATTACTTTGACTAAATTATGCTAACACATGTAAAACTCATGCATTCTTACCAGGCTTGTGGTGACCATCTCTTCAAACCATTTGGACTGCGACTGATTATAAAGGTCGACACAGCGCATCAGATCATCGCCTGCCACGAAGAAGAAAAACAAGCCAATTAGCAACTTTTATTTTGAAAATCCATGCACTAATTTGGCTACAACAGCAAAAAACAAAACCCCAAAACAAAAGCAAGCCCAAGCACTTCATTTGGTTCTAGCATTTTACCTCCAGCAGATGGTGTTGCAACCAAGATATTCCCTCACAGCTGGGGCGTTCGAACAAAACATGCATGTACAGGGATGTTTTCTCATTACTCAGCTGATACAATTATTCCAGAACAGCACAGATAATCTAGACTGATAGAAGATTTCATTATGATACCATGAGCAATGAGAAAAGGAAAGGTCTAATCTGTTATTTCATTAATGTGTCTGCCTGCATCCAGCTGACAACAAAACAAACACTAATCATGTAGAAGATTAGATCAGAGAGGAAATGATGCTGAGTATTCTGTTCTTCATTCTTCTTCAGCCAACATGCGCTCATACATGTGCTACATTATGTTCACATTAGTGTCCTATTCCTCTCTTCAATGTGGCTGCTAAATATCTCACAGCCGAGCTAGTGTGGAGTAATATTTCTTATAGTATAATCAGTAGTACAGTGAAAGTGGAAGGGGATCGATGGATGGATGGATGGATGGATGGATGGATGGATGGATGGTTTCTTGGGGCAGACCTGGCCTATAAGCGTAGTCCACAAATTTTCAATTGGGATAACATCAAAGCTTTGGGAAGACCACTCCAGAAACTTAACTTGCTTCACTTAACATGACTGACGTGTGCTTAGTTTGATTTTCCAGTTGGACCATCCAACTGTTTCAACCATGTAGTAATTCATTTAAGGTGAAGCTGAAGAATTTGGAACTAGTTCTTTATAAATCACAGGTACTTTATGCAATATATCAGTATAGAGAACATTTATATCCAAATCTGGTTTATATGTCTTCCCTCTTGCCTGGACTCATATTTACCCACCTAGATTGTTTTGGTATGAACCCAGTTATGAGTTAAGGCTTTAGTTTAGTTTAGAAGAAATAAAACAGTTCCTACATTAAACATTTGTTGCTATGATTTCTATTCTATATTAATCGAACAACTCTTTCAAAATATTCTAAAAGGACGAAAAGAAATACAGGCCATAAGAAAGCTGTAATAAACTGCTCCTTTTGTGTACAATGCATCCATATATATGGATCTTGAAATGTTCTAGCACTTCTTAAAGTTCTTGCCGCTGCAGCAGAATTTACAGTAAACAGGGTTTTCTCTCACTTCAGCTCAGAATGGCTTCTATAAATAAACAGAGAAAAAAATGAGAAGCACATGCGCATAAGCCCTCCAAGAAAAAAAGAGACTCTAAGAACAAACACACACATAATATATATAAAATAAAGGAATGGACTCTATAAAAGGGTGATCACAGCTTCAGATGGTTGATTTAAACTGTAAGGAAATCCCTGCTATCATTGCTGTGTGTAAACCAATGCAGTGAGAGCGATAACGAGACTTTGTTATAAGCAGACAGATGCCATGCTTTCTTTGTTTTGGCATCAGACTCCTTTCTGCTTCCCTCACACTGCAGTCATCATCATTGGCAGCCAGACACCACGAGCACTGTCAACAACTGCTGCTTTTTCTTTTTTACCCGGTTGCATAAGCAACAGAGGACGGATCGCTCTGTGTGTGTCATGAGTCACGTGTGGTCATGCCTGGTTGGCCCATGACATCACACTTTTGTGGTTTACATTGTTGGCTCTTAGCCTGTCACTTTCCTCAGGTGGCACAGCTAGTAAAAACTTTTATAATCATCAATCTGCTGCAGCTACTTTTCCACTCTGGCTCTTTTCCACCTCCCGCCCTTCTAACATGCACATGTGCTTTCACTATTTTCAGTGGCTTACGATCCATTGTTCACTCAATGTGACATAATGTTTTGTTTGTGAGGAGCAGTGGATGAACCCTTTTACCCTAGTAAAAAAAAACACACAGGTAATGGAGACTACAGCATTGCACCATATATGTATTGTTACACAGCTGAATGCTCTACTTTTACTCTTTATAACTGGCAAAAAAAACTTTAAATAGAGGTATTCACACCGTTTATAAATAAAGTTATATTGAAATGATAAACCAAATACTAAAACCAGTGAGGACACCTTGGATAATCTTCCCGACTGAAACCTAGAATGGCCAACATTTACAAAATGGGGCTAAAAATTGATTTTATATAACCTGAAACGAGTGACTAAGACTATAAACTCACCACTAACATGTTTACTGAGGTCAAGTCCCAAGGCCATTTTCCCACAGACTTCTAAAGGACCGGAAGTCTTTTGCAACTGCAACCAGAGCCCCCAACCCTTCACCCACCCCTCACTGTTGTCATAAAAAGAATGCAGGTTTAAGGCCCTTCCACGCTGGCTTTGCTTTTCAAAAGCTGAAGCTAAGTACATCTTTTATACAATCTATGATTATTCTATTGCTGAAAATACTTCACAGGAAATGCATGTAACATTCGTTCAAATTTAGAATACTCAGCTTCTTTCTGAAACTGCAGATTGTGCTGAAATAATGAATTAATCAATCATCAGCATTGGCAGTATTGTCTGTCTTCCTAAATCCTGTTTAGTGCCCCAAAGAACATAATAAATCATTTATTCTTGCCCACTTCAAAGCAGTGAGAAGAAACAGACACCTCATATAATCAAACAATGCAACAAAATTGTTTCTTTAGCGAGATTTGAAAAACTGCACAGGTTGTCAGGCTACAGCAGGGCAAACAGTGGAAGGATGGTACATCTCCCAGCCCAAGGACCACGGAGTTGAGCATAATTTATGATCATATCAGCGACATAGAGGGATTTTCACTGACGTATTTTGCACACACCGCCTCATTGACAGTAAACACTCTGCAGAGATGCGGACTGCCTTTGCGATACCCAACCGCAAGCACAGAAGCAGAGACGTTTTTGGGACTTCTTTTCTCTTTCCCAGTCTATTAGGAAAATATATGTTGGGGTGGGGGGTCCCAGTCTGGGTTGCAGCACTGATAGAGCTCATGACTCATGCAAAAAGACAAACAGAATCCCGGTTCATAGGCCAGCTCAAGTGAAGGGCTAAAGAAACACTGAAGGAGGATTCAGATTTCATGTTCAGTAAGTTAGGTCTCCACTTTTACATGCAGGCACTGGAGGGTCTCATAGTTACATTTTTAGGAAATAATAATTATGCAAAAGATGCAACGCCTTGTGCTTATTTAACACAACCCTTTTTTAACTGCATAAAGTCGATTAATTATTTCTTATTTAGAATTAGCATGTTATCTGACTGGAACCCATTATTAGATTCACTTATTTAATCTAAATTCTATTAACACTATTTCTGAACCTATTAATGCTCCAACCTGTGGTTGCTAACTAAGGAATGGGAGAGGACTGAAATTAATCATGAAAGAAACTTCTGTGCCAAAGATAAATATATTCACAGCGGCAGAAGATATGAAATGTTGACAGAATGTTTATTTACATTCAGATACGTCAGAACTCGTGGCTGACCTGATTAATTTACTGATATGAACAGAATTTAAATGTATGTTCACATTTGCACACAATGACAAGCAGACCTGCATTTGTCAAACTGTGTGAGTCCTGCTGTCGATGTAATTTATTCTTTTAGATTAACTGAGGATAGCACCACCACAAACTACCGCTGATGTGATGATGAAATATATTTTGGGGTTATATATACATACATATATGTCTATATACATATATATACATATGTATATATAACATAACATCAGTGTAGAATAGGAAGTTGAGAAGATTCAACAAAGTCTTTTAGCAGTGGTTTGGATCCATTTGCTTATCCAGTAAATTTCTGCTGAAGTAAGTTTAGTTTGAAAACAGATGTTGTGCACATACACTCATAGTGGTTCTTAGAACATTTTGACAGATTTGTTTAAACTACATAATTTTAAACCTAGAAATTTAGAATTTACATGCAGTACCATTAAAGTCGGGAAACAGCGACCAACGGTGAATGTTTCAGCCACATGAGAGGGTACAGAGTAAACAACAAATACCTCAGTGAAAGTGTGACCCTATAAAGACCCATGGTTTGACCTTTGCCCCATGCTCTGACCTGCTTGTGTGGATTTCCTGCGGGCTTTTTTGATGTCTTCTTCAATCTTGTTGCTGAGTTTGATCTCCAGCTGCTGCGTCTTTAGCTCCAACTCTTTCTGCCTGTCAGACAGAGCTTTACGAGCCTGCCAGAGATAAGAGTCTGAAGTAAAGACTTGCTTTCACAAAACAATCTGAATTTCTGGCTGAGCTTCAGGCAGCAAACGTTTTCCTTTAAACAATGTGCAACATCAGGCTAATACGATAAAATAATGTTACAGTCTTCTTCAATTCACCACAATGATAATGCTGTCTGCAGCATTCGTGCATCATTCAGTGTTAAATGCTCAGTCGCCCATCAGATTACTTTATTTGAGAGAAACTGTTGAGTCCTTTCTCAGCATGATCGCTGATCATAAAGACACTGACAGATGATGTTAGACGAGCTTTACCCAGTTGCTTTCTATTGCATACATAAACAAAGACAAAATATCCAACAGATGAGAAACAGCCATCTGCTTATAGAAGAAATGTGGAATTATAATCAGCAGTGAGATGATTCCCTAAATAGTTTATACTGCTATATGAAATTATATAACATACATGAGTTCTTATATTTGTATGAGTTTGGATACCTTCTCCACAGCTGCATAGCGGCCAACCATCTGCTTCCGTAGGTCGGCGATGTGGTGGTCGAGCCTCTTCATGTCCTTCTTAAAGTTTTCCCTGAAGGTCAGGAAGGGCTTCTCCACTTCACTCTGGAGCTGCTCAAAGAAAACAACACATACTGAATACTGATTTTTTTCTGAGCAGAAAAAAAATGATGAAAAACTAGTGTCAGACAAGCGTTTGTCAGTAAAACATGACTGGCCATTGCTATAATAGACAAATAGCCCTTTATTGTCATTGTACATGTACAATGCTCTACACCAGGGGTGGGCAATCTCAGTCCACGAGGGCCGGTGTCCCTGCAGGTTTTAGATGTGT